GGCCCATATTTGATGTTGACGGTCCTGCAGCGAAAGCTGATCTCCGTCTCTTTTGCGCTTCCGGCCTCCGACTGAATATTGCGAGTTGATCACGTCTTGCTCGTCCATCATTGATTCCGATGCTACCGTCACGTTGTCGGGCGTCTCGTCGCCGTTGTATGGGGCGCTCATCTCGTCGAAGCGGTCATCGCTGATTTGGCTGGGGGCTTGTAGAGGTACTGCATGGCGTTAGAGCATGCGGCGACAAGCATGTATAAATACAGCTCGGTGGGAGAGTGTGTCGCACGACGAGCAGCAGCAGGCTTGGCCTTACCTGGCATCCTCCGCCCAGCACTTTGCCGCGGTGCTTTGGGTCTTGAGGATGCGGCCGTGGCATGTTTCGGCGCGGGAGGAGGACTTCTGTCGCCCGGGACGAAGTCGAATATGGGAAGGAGTTTTTCGAGCACGCCCTGACGCTCGGCAAGTATGCGACCATCTGTCAGAGGGACCCATGTTCCTAGAAAGCGCAAGCCTTAGTAACTGCACAGTTGGCAGAATCTTTCCCAATCCAACCTTGGTATTTGCCGTACCCGCCCTGCACCTTTTCGTGAACACCCTTCTGGACCTCTCGTTCGAGGATACGGGTGCGGGCTGGCTTATCAAAATCGGCGACCTTGAGGATGTGTGTCGCATTGATCCAGTCGTCAGCGCGCCTGCGCATTACATGATTTCCTTCGACGTTGAACTCGTAAACGGGCACCTGGACAGTGTGAGAAGAGAGTTGGAGATTCGGGTTAGACAGGGATCGGGCGCTCTAACATTACTGTATGTTGCGGAGTAGATCTTGGTGCCAGCGTCGGCCGGCATGGTCGGCAGCGAGCGAGGGGTGTTGAGCGAGAGACGGCAGAGGTAGAGACGGGATCTCTCACAGTGGAGGTGTTCGTCAACGCGGTGCGATGAGCTTCAGTGGAGGGAGACGCGTTGACCTCTCCGCCCTCCGCGCTCCGCGGCCCGGCTCCACCACGCCAAGACTCCGACCCTCCGCGACCAGCAGCTCCCGCACCCGCCGCCTATCAACCTCACGTCAATCATCGTGACCATTGGAAGCAGGAACCTTTCCAGTGCTTTCATCACTCTGCCCGTCCATATCACTGACAACATGACTGTGACCGAAACGATCAAGGATGCCGTCGGTCTCGGCCATGGCAAGGCTCCCTCAGCCCGTGAGTCCTCTTTGTCGACCCACAATGCCACCGGGACCACCGAGCACTGACAAGCATGTGTGATCAACAGCGGCCACGCGGGAGGAGATGTCGGCCGCGAAGCTTCCTCTGGCTTATCGTGACAGCTGCGCGCACCTCTTGATCCCTCTGAACCGCTGCCGTTACGAGGAGTACTACCTACCCTGGAAATGCGTGGTATGTCCACTTTCAGTTGGTCTCGGATGATCATCGGACCCTAATTGGATGCTCAGGACGAGAGACACTCGTACGAGAAATGCCAGTACGAGGAATTCAAGATGCGTGTCGCCAAAATGGATGAGCTGCGGGCAGCCAAGAATAGCGAGCGGAGCAACTGAACGATTGATGGACATCTGAGAGACACGGCGTTGGTGGCTTGGGACACGAGCTGGTAGCTGCTTGTACATACAGCACCGGCATGAAATGAGGGACAATACTATTTCGATACAGAAAAGGATTCAGCCTGATCCTGGGTGATAATGTCTTCTTCACGCAGGTCGGTCAAAGAGAAGTCATGGATGAGAGTCTCCCAACTCTCGGCTGTTGCGAGATTTCATTGTTTGGCTCACCATGAACGTGGTATGGGTCACTGCAGTCGCAGGTTGAGGGTATAAATTTCAACAAATTTCTCATTGGTCGCTTTGCATTGCTGACTATCGTCCAGCCCGACAAGGCTCGGAATCTAACATACTCGTTCTAGCTGACAAGGCATGCCGAATGTATCGAGCAGGACTGTCCCCAGGCCAGACTCGCCACTTATTCCTGTTTCTTTGTCTCATTTCCATTATTCGTTGGCGGACGCATTTGTAAATGACCTGGTTGACAAGAAATGGTCCATTATAAGGACCGCATTCCCGCCGGCATGGTGCGCTTTCCAGACTCGAAACCAAACACTACCACACGCATACAAAGTCGCACGAGTACCGAAAACCATGAACGCACAACGGACAGTGTCTTTTCACTTGGACTCGGGCCTGCCTGGCCCAATGTTCGAATTAAAAGACATCCCCGGCAAAGGTCGCGGGTATATCGCCCAGAGGTTTATTCCGCAAGGCACTCTCCTTTTAGCTGAGAAACCACTGCTCGTCTCGCAAGCCAGTTTTCAGTCCGATATCCCTCAGGAAGCTCTTCCGGAAATAAAGCGGATCGTCAAAGAATATCGTGCTTTGTCAAACGAAGACAAAGGCAAGCTACTTTCGCTCTCCTATTCCCCCGAAAATCTGGCAATAAAACAGGCTATATGCAGTCCTGAAAACGGTTTCTACGACCGGGAAAGAGAACTCGTTATCATTATATGTGCTATCTTAGCCACCAACTCCTTTGGTGGGAACGACCAGCTGCACCGCTTTGATGGTGCCGTATTTCATAACGGGTCCATGTTCAATCACAGCTGCATGTTCAATGCATTCCAAGACTGGTTAGGTGATGAGCTAAGATTTTTCGCTCATCGGGACATCGAAAAAGACGAGGAGATTACGATTCCATACGCCCATAACTTAAAACAGAGGTATGGCCTCCGTCAAGAACAGCTGCGGAGTTACGGCTTCCAGTGTTCGTGCCCGGCCTGCTTTCTCGAGAAACCAGTGACCCATCCAGATGGGGATTATTGTTGGTGCGACCTCTGTCTGGCGACCGTAGGCCACAAGAATCTTAGAGGGCCAGACCCCCTTGCACGGTCGTTGACTTACGTCCTCGATTTCTTCGAGTACGTAATGCAGGAAATATTGTTGGCGGACCAAGCACAGCGCGCGCGGATGGAGGGCATTATGCTTGAGCAAGTCCGCGACGCCCTACGATGGCTCGAGCACATTGCCATGATGCGTGTCAGTGAGAGACCTGACGAGGCGGAGAAGAAGCAGTTAGGCAATCATGTTCATAGTATAAGGCGTGCGTGGAGGCACGTCATCAAGATAATGGAGGTTCCAGAGAGTGAGTTGATATAGCCAGAGTATGTTTTTCTGAACCCTTACTATTTCCAAGTCTCTAGGAAAGACGGAAATTCTGAATTACCAACCTGGAAGCTCCGAAGTGTGCTGATTCTACTTTCTAGATTCACGTTTTGCCCAATGTCTGGTCAGAAACTGCAAGGATTGTCAGTCCCCAGATAGGTGCGCAGGAACTTGTTATATATCGCCAGATTTGTCAGGCACGACGGATGCAAAATTAAATCTCGTCGTACTCGATCCTTCGTCGAGGTTTAGAGCTTAACTCCGCTAAGACCGGGAGGTCACATCATACCGGAAATACCGGACCATATTTAGTTGGGCCTTGAGGTGGCTCGGGTCTATATCTTCTTCAGAATTCACTAAAGTACATTGGAGCAATACTGGTCATCATCTTCATAGCGGATAAAAGGGACAGCTTCTGGTTGTCCTCTACCTGCTAATTGACGCGCCCTCGTTAAACGGCGTCACGGATCCCACAAGGGTGAAGCAACGCGGCAATAAATTTGATCGATTTGCTCTCACAGTAACGTTAGATCATTCCGCCATCATGTCGTCCCGTAAGCCCACCGCAGAAGATTTAGCTTCCGATCTCTCGTCGAACATCCAGGGCAATACCGTTCTTACGACCGGAGTATCTCCTGGTAGCCTCGGAGCTTACTTCGTCCAAACCATCGCTGCACATCGTCCAAAACTTGTCATCCTCGCGGGTCGAAACGTATCCAAGCTCGAACAGACCGCCAAGGAGATTTCAACAAAGAGCCCGGATGTAGAAACCAGGACGCTGCAATTGGATCTTTCATCCCCAGCACAAATCCGGCAAGCCGCGGCGGAAGTGATCAAGTACGAGGAATCCATTGACGTTCTTGTCAACAACGCGGGCATCATGGCCGTTCCGACATATCAAATAGCCAGCGAAACCGGTATCGAATTGCAATTCGCCTGCAACCACATCGGCCATTTTCTCTTCACCAATCTCATCATGGATAAGATCCTTTCTTCGAAGCACCCGCGAATCGTGAACGTAAGCAGTGATGGCCACCGTCTCAGCGACGTGCGATTCGATGATCTGAACTTCCAGGTAATTCCCTGAATTGTGTGGCGTTCGTGCTTTCATTGATGCGGTATACAGGGCGGCAAAGTATACGACAAGTGGCGCGCATACGGCCAAGCTAAGACGGCAAACATGCTCTTCACCCTGTCTCTGGCTGAAAAGCTTGGGGACAAAGGCTTGCTGTCGTATAGTCTTCATCCTGGCGTTATCAGGACCAATCTCGCAGAAGGATTGGGAGATGCTGACTTTGGAGAACTGAGTAAGTCGGAAGTTGAACCATCAGTCCCGCATATTACTCACAATACATGTTTCAGTGGCACTTGATGTTGTTCAAGGAGCATACCAGGCAAAGCCAGGGTACTGGGACAGCGCCTACGTGCCTATCTCCGAAGGTAAGGCAACACATATGGCTGCCGCATTTGGAGATGGAATGGAAGGTATGCGACGACAGAACTCAGCACTTCACTGCGCCCCCTTGGGAGCGGTAGACTGACTCGAACGATAGACATGAACGGCAGGTATCTCTCTGAAGCAAAGATTTCCCCACTGGATCTTGTCAAGAGCTGGGCGCGAGACAGCTTTGATGCAGAGAGATTGTGGAAGATGAGTGAGGATATTGTGGGCCAAAAGTTCAAGTTCTAGGCTGTAGAAACATTCCCGATGACAACGAATAAAAATTCAGAATCTTTTACTAAGAGCATCCGAGCGAGCCTCAACAGAGAGGATAAAAAGGAGAGGAAGAAAGACTTTGGATTACATGTACGATTTCCAAATAAAAAATGTTGACTGGGGCGAGATTCGAACTCGCGCCCGTGAAGACTACGGTGATATAAGTAGCGTTCCGGAGAACGCGGACCTAAACGTAGCGCCTTAGACCACTCGGCCACCCAGCCGCTATTTCGTTAAAATTTCAATAACTGTGATATATATCATGTTACATTACTGAGAACTCCACTAAGCAAACAGTCTACCTCTCACAGCTCCTTAGAGTCGCCGTGTCTTTGTTTGTTGACTCGGCAATATGCTCGGCGAAGAAGCGACATTCACTAGCTCCGCCCTAGTGGATCGCTTGTTCCTCGTCCCGAGTCACCTTGCCGGACTCGCCTTTCCCGAACCTCAATTTCCATTGACCTTTCGAACATCTGTTGCACGTTCGACTTTGACATAGGAACAGCCAGATTCAACTTTACTCTATCATGCCTGTCCAGATCTACTCTAACATTTCCCGATGCGGGACCAGACCTCTGTTCTTCAACCTCGCTTCGGCCTTCTACCTTCGTCCCACTGACATCCTCATCACCTCCCTGACCGATTGAAGCAGAGTCCAACCTTCCGTTGCATGATACTGGCTCGACTTCAGGCCATCTTTGTTGTACCGGTTGATCTTGCCGAGACCAATCACCACAGCCCGATGAGTCTGATCCTTGATCTTCCGTCTCCGCCCCGATGACTTTCTGATCACCACCATGCCCAGGTGAAGCAGATTCTAACCTTTCTTTGCTTGGTGTTGGCTTGACTTCAGACCGGCTTACACTTAGGAGCTGAGGGCCACGACAGACTGAGTTAAGAAGTAGTCGAAGGATGAGGAGCAGTAAACCGATCGGCGAACGATAGAGACGACCGAGTTGGCAAGTCCGAGAGAGAGGAGAGCCTCTTATCGAGAAGCTGCGGGTGGTTGAAGTATGCGTAGTGACCCAATTGGCGAAAGAATATCAGTACGCAGAAAGCCGATGCACACGAACGGCATGCAAATTGAGCGTGGGAACGAAGTCTGATTCGATGCGTGATCGAGGTTTGCGAGGAACGGGGGATTTAGATGCAAGAACTTGAGTGAGAGGGGTTGTAGTCTGGGAATTGGAGGCAGGAAGCGCTGGAAGGACGAAGATATCCTTTGCTCTACTTTTCCCTGCGACCTGCTTAGACTGACTTCAACATCCTATTATTATATCTGTTGTATTCAATCCAATTTTCGTACGACCTATTTAGACTCACTTCACCGCCCTGTTGATATGTTGGTAGCATTCGCTCCGAGTTGCGTATGGCCTATACAGACTTACTTCAAAGGTCTATCAATACATCGATGGTATCTTCCCTATCTTTCCGTACGACCTGTTCAGACATACTGCGATACCCTATCAATATTGGCTGCGTTTACTCTGCTTTCGCTACTATCTTATTAGTGTTGCGTCGAAGTATCTGACATGTATCGTTCGAACACACTCTAATGGCGCTCAAACTGTGTCCAGGACCACTTCGACTTCAATGTCCATTACAGTTGGTAGCGAAAATCCGGATGGTCCTCCCCCGCATCCTCGAACTCCTTTTCCTCCAACACGCCTGGCAGCAACGCTCTGTTCCGGTCTCTCTTCCCATTGACAATCCGCAGACCAACATACATGACCGTCATAGATGCCAGCGAGATGCACATAAAGGCCATGTTTGTACTGAACCCTGTGTGATACGTCGGACTCTCGGCGGTGATGAAGACATTGCTGGATACGAAAGCGCCGCAGTTGCCCAACGCGGAGACGCAAGCGAAAGCGACGGTACGCTTGTAACCTTTACCAGCATTGATGGCCAGCCAGACAATCGTAATGGGCATTATCAAGTACGGTCCTGCGGTGACGAAGAACATACCCATGTAGCGGATTCTGGCGTCCTTGGGCTGCGCGATCTCGACGGCTAATCCGATGATGGCGATGAAGGCGCCGACAACGCTGAAGACGTAGCGCTGGCATATGCGCTCACTAATGTAGGCGCAGGTGAGAGTGAAGACAAAAGAGACGGCATAGATGGGAATGCTGTGTACTTGCGCTTCGACGGAGGTGTAGCCGAGGCCTTTGAGGATGGCGGGCTGGAAGGAAACAACGGAGGCCGCGCTCTCCTCTGCTCCCACGTAAGTGACGATTCTATGGCTTCTTAGACGTTAAGTCAACAGTATCTGCAGCAGCAAACTTACGCTACCCATATTTTCCAATCAAGAAGATGCTTGCAAATTTTCCTGAAACTCAACTCATCGTTTGTGACGTTACCTCCATCATCTTCCAAGCGGGCCAGGAGAGCAATTTTATCTTCGGCCGAGAAAATGGTGCTATCCTCTGGGAAAGGCATCATGATGAACCAGGACACGACGCTTACTACGAGTGTGCATAAACCCTCGATAATGAATATCCTGAGGCTTTCAGTCAATATAGCAGAGATCGTGGCCTTGTGACACGCACCATCGCCAACCTTCATAGCCACCAACACCGGCCATATTCGAGATGGCAGTTGCAAGTAACTATCGGAACCATCAGCAAAGAATCAGGTCGCAGAATTCATTATATGCTCACGCCGTTGATCGCTCCTGCTAGAATGGCAGCGCTGAAGAAGACCGCGTACCGTTTCAGGAACTCGTCTTTCTTATAATATGCGCCGATCAAGTATGAGCAGCCCGGTATGAAGCCTGATTCGCAGATACCTTCAAGGACTCTGCATGCGATGAGGCCAGCATAGCTTTCGATCAAGCCCTGACCAATGACAGTGAGACCTGATACAGTCGTCAGTATCATTCTCGACACTGTCGCTGGCGTGGGCCAAAATTACCCCACAAGAACATCATGACGCTGAGTGATTTTGGACCAGTCTTTTTGAACACGATGTTCATTGGTATACCAGTAATAACGTAGGCAAGGGTGAAGGCCATGACAGCCATGTTGTATTGGTTGCCATGGAGGTGTAGTGACTTGTCGAGACCCTGGATCTTTGCATTCCCAATATTGCCACGATCGATGAAAGATACGAGAAACAGGCAGAACAGGACAGGAACAAATTGGAAGTCAAGCTTTCGCAAGATCCGTCTTTCGACCGTGGGATCAAAGGGTGGCCTGTGGGTGGTGGTGTCATTGTCGGCCCGTAGCGGAGAGATTGCGGCCACAATCTCAATGTCTTTGGCATTCATTGATTGCGATGAGGAGTGTTTCGGACTTGGAGATTCGGGAGGACTGAGGCGAATAACGCACATGGGGAGTTGACGAAATGATCTCGCTGCTTCTTTGCGGTCCATGGTTCGGCTAAGCCCACTACGACATCTAGCAGTTAGCTCAGGGTATAGCCGCGCATTGGATGGTTGTCTTGCCTTCCTTCCCCTCTTTGTGTCACCTGGGCTCATCAGCGTCATACTGAGTTACAAGGGCAGGTTCGAGACCGAGGTTTCCAGGCATAGTTGGAGCATTGTTTTCTGAGGTTGGTGACTTGGAGAGAACGATCAAAAGGCTACTAAGAGCTGTGAAAAAGGAGGAAATGTTAATTGTATTCGACGCGGAAGTTATTTGACCTGAATCATCCGGGATCATACCGCCCGACACTAATTTCCCAGAAGTCGAACAGTGAATGCGTATAAGCATGCTTGTATCGAGGTGGTGAGGGTCGAACTGTCGAAGATAGACGAGGCTGCTGTTCGTGATGGAGGTGGGAGGTCGCTGTAGCCGCTTTGCTGTTGGCGAAGGCCAGCTTTCCAACCATTGTAGGGGTCATGAGGTTGATTGAAGAACAAATACCAGCCATGCTGTAAGTTGCTACTCCGGCTGGTGTACGGTTTCCGACGTGCAATTTGTACATTGTAAGCCGGGTTGAATTGCAAACTGGCAGTAGCAGTCACCTGTACCTGCACCTGGCGCACCCCCATAATGATCAGGAAGGTGCGCCACAGCCAATATACACAAGAGCTGCACCATTCCAAATTATGTAATCCAGCATGCAATATCATTTTCATCCATAAGCGTAAGGTATCTACGCATCTATCGTTGCGAACATCAGCCGGTAGAATCGTTAGTACCGATATACCTTACTAAGCCCGAGGACACTTCAAACCTCGCCCAACGTCACCTCATACAACCAAACATCACACACAACCGCAAACCACCCACAGCAAACCACAAAGAGCTCAAACCGCAAAAACTTACCGTACAATTCTCGATACCACTACTAGACCCCCAACTTCGAACAATCAAAATGTCGTCCCAGTACCAGTTTGTTTTTGCTGAGTTGATGATGTCCAACCGCGCGCTCGAGGACAAGCTCAAGCGTCTGGAACAACAAGTCAAGCGCTGCACCAAGGAGGCCTTGTCGCTCGGTGTCGATCCGAGTTTAGTCCAGCGTGAACCCTCCCGGTGGGCTTTCCGGTGGGCGGCTGCGCAGAACGCGGCTTCTCCGCGTGTATCCGGCCGGGTCGCCGAGTCGTCGTCGAGCAACGGTTGCGAGGGCGTTCAGCCTCAAACAAAGTCGAGCAACGGCCACGAGGGTATTCAGCTCGTGCAGACGTCGAGCAACGGCCGCGAGGATGTTCGGACAGTGCAGTTAGAAGATACGACGGACGGCTCTGGCGTGATCCCTGAGGTCGATATAGCGGTTGCAAGTGATGTTAGACCTGACCTCGAGTGCATCAGCCCGGTGGTCAAAGAAAGTGAAACGCGCGATGAAGGAGAAGAAGAAGAGCTTTTGTCTCTTGGCATTACCATTGTGGATTCTTCGGAATCAACCCCAGACTCGGACTCAACGTTGCGCAAACTGGAAGGGAAGGACGAAAGCGGGTTCTGTAGTAGATTCAAAGAGCGGAACGACGCAGCAGGACTCATGCCAAGTCCCCTAATGGTGCGGACGGAAGGAACTCGGCCTCACAAAGCCATGAAGAAAGTACGCCCAAGGGCACTCTCACCTGCACCCCACTATAAGACAAGTGCGAAGAAATTACACATTCTGTCGACGATTCTAGAAGGTGAGGTACTTAGAGTACCCACCACACGGTCGAAGGAAATACCAACAATAGAGGCATCTTTGATGCCCAAGCCCCTATCATTCTCCAAGCCACACAAAACCACGCAAAGAGAGGAGACTAGCGTGGTACCTGGCGGTT